AGATGCTATTGTTGTTAGCTACTTTTAGTAGGAATATATATGTTATTATTAAGTAAACCAGTTTAGTTTCACTTCTTGTCTATTGAATTCATTCTTCTGATGAAGCTGTTTTTAGTTCTTTAAGTTTATTTTTATGTATTATTATATGGATATTTGTATATTTTATTTGTCTTTATATTCTGGTCTATGAATATATTACTAATAGCTATTCTTTTTCTAGAATATTCATAAAATTGTTAGATATATATTTTGAGAATCTAAGGAAATACAATTTTATTTGTTCTTTGGTCTTGTTTTTTCATTAAAGCATTACTAATGATTGTTATTTTTGTTCTAGATTTTGTTAAGTAGCTTTGAACTTTCTTGGAATATATATTTTAGAAATCCTGAGGAGTATGATTTATGTAGTTATTGTTTTGATTGTTCTTGCTTATAAATGTATTACTAATGCTTCTTTTTGAAAGTTTTAGAATATCTGAATTTTTTGAGAACTATAGTATATTTCTTATGAATTAGGTATATTTTTCATTATTGCTTTTTGATTTGTAACAAATATGTTACTAACACTTTTTATTTTGCTAATTTAGATGTTTTCAAGCTTTCTTGAGAACTGTAAAGTACAGTTATTATTTCATTATGCTATTAGAAATTATAGATAACTGTTTTTTGAATTTTCTATTATAAAGTGATCTATAGTGTTATTGAAGAATTTTATTACTTTCTTGCTATATCTTTAAATATCATCATTAGAGATTTCAATACTCTCAATACTATTTGTTCTTTTGGTGCTGTTTATTTTTCAGTGCTACTATTTTAGTTTTCTAGATCATGGTTTACATATTATTTATTAGTATAAGATTTTGTATATGTGTTGTTATTAAGTTTAATGTAATTTAGCTATATCATATCATATTGTTATTGTATATTATATAGGTTATTGTTAGGTAAAATATTCATTATACAATAATATCATTATGTAATGATATTTGTATTAATAGTTAGTTAAGGCTAGAGTTAGGTTTGAGTTAGAGTAATTTGTTTAAGTTAGAGTTAGAGGTTTTTAATATCAAATTGTTTTATTATATGAATAAAAATTGATTAATTTTATTTAAATAAATAATATTGAAAGAATAATCTGTGACTAGTATTATTAAAATTATAATATTGAATTATTAACGAATAGTAGATTTTATATATCAAAAGTTAATCAATTAGTATATTTATGAGTAGATCTTTATATATTAAATATTAGTTGATTATTGTATCAAGTAGTAGCTTTTATATACTAAATATTGATCAATTAGTATAATGAAATATTTATAAGTAAATTTTTATATGTTGAATATTAGTCAATTGTCATATTGAATGAATAATGAATAGTAGCTTTTATATGTTAAATATTAGTAATTAGTATATCAAATTATTAATGAATATTTACTTTTAAATATCACTAAATTTGGTCAATTACTAAATATTTTACGATTTTCATTTTGAATATTTGCTAAGTATCATATAACAAGTAATAGCCAAGTAGCAGATTTGTACCAAATAGTACTTATTCAGTTAATATTCAGCAAATATTTATCTACTGAAAATTTATTAATCATTCAGCTAACTTTTGTATAATTATCATTATAATGAATAGTACAATTTTGATCAATAACCTGTTTGTAAGTTACCTATTTAAATATTCTATTCAATATTACTGTTATATATAATTCTAAATTAATATCACTACAGTATCTAACTACTTAAGCCAGTTAGCTCATTACAGATCATCTACAAATTGGCTTAGGTTCTCTTAGGATATATTATACTCAATATATTATGAATATCTGCAGAGCCAGTTAACCTTATAAGCAAATCTACTAGAGTGTTTTATATCTATTTTATAGATTCTACTTAGATTAGACTTTTGTCGATATTTGTATAAACTTAGTTTCTTCTGTAACTCTCTACTAGTTTAGTTCTTTGAGATTTTTAAGATATTTCATAAAACAAATTCTTCTAAATCTAGTTAGCTGCTAAGTCAAGTTAATACTGCTAACCTTTTTGTATATTAAATAGACTTACTTGCACTTGTTTGATCTATAATATATGCATATGAACTTCTTTATCAGATTAAGCATTAACTGAACTAACTATTAAAATCTATACTACTTTATTTAACTCAGAATTTCTATTATGTAAGTTTCCTGTTTGTAGATCCTATTAAAATTTATTTATACAATATTACATTCTTCAAGTATCATGTTACACTTTTAATATCTAGATAACATTAGTGTAATATAATTTACAAGATTACAACCTCAGAAACAAACAGAGTTTACTATAAGTTAGATACAAAAGTCTAAGTAATTATTCAAATTTATCAACAGTGAGATTTGAACTTCAGACCTTTTACATAGTAATCTGATAATCTAACTACTATACTAAGATTGCTAGATTTAATTTTTATTAAATTTGAATATATAGTTATTGAAATATTATTAAAAAAAATATTAAAAATTTTTATATATTTCTATTAAAATCTTAATAAAAAAAATATTTTAAAGCCTACTTTTTTATATTAATCTTTATTATATATAATAATTCTATAAAAAAATAAATATTTGTGTTAAAATATAAATATATATAGTAAAAAAAAAAAAAAAAAGTTAAAAAAAAATTTTTGATAAACAAAAATTGATAATCATCGTTCTCAAATTTGATTAGTCAATCATTTAGAGTCGCTATAGAGACAGATCACTAATTTTTCTTAAAGATATTATTAAATGAAAAAAATTTATAAAAAATTTATTTTGATATTATTAGACTTCATTGGACCTTATTAGACCTTCTATCTAGTAGTAAAAAAAAATAATTAAAAAAGTCTAACAACAATTTATTACTAGAATAAAAATTTTTTAGTTTTATTGAATCAGTTTTGTAACAACACTGCTCTAGTATATAGTGATAGTTACAAAAATATACTAATATAGTTTAGTTTAAAAAACCTAAGTTTTAATTAATTATTTTGAACTAGTAAAGAATTGACTTAATCATGAATTTATATAGTTAGGAGTTTTAAGAATAAATTGTAATTATTTTATTTAAATTAATCGATTATTTAATTCATAACTGGTCACTTTTTGAAAAGTAAAAAGGACCTATATTTATACAATTTGGTTTACAAAGACTATACTAAATAATTCTATATGATTAAATCACTCATATCTTTACAAGCAGTTGTTTACTTCTTTGTGAGCAGTTGTTTCGCTTATGTTTTAGCTATCTAAGATAATACAAAGCTACACTGCTCATATCATTATACAATTCTATTCAATTAAAGCTTATTAGATATATACCTTAGCACCACTATTTACTAGAGTAGTTAATTTCTAGTCTAAAGATCACTGGTCTTTAGGTTAAACTAGATTATACTGTGGTTTAGGACTGATTAGAGTCAAATCGGAAGAACTAGTTACTATATTAATTAACTTAAATAATTTTTCTAAAAGATCACTAAAATTAACTATTTAATTAGTATTTGGTTAATTTCCTAACAACCTTTTCACTGATAGATATTTTGGACCCAATTTAAGGTTAGTGTTAGCTAGATTTACAGTTAATGTTAGTTATAGATTTATTGTACCAAAACCTCAAATCATCTAATTTATGTTATGATTACAATTAGACCGTTCCAATTTGATCCTATGTTTAACATAACACTAATAAATGATCTGCAACTCTAAATAAGAGGGGAAGGTAAAAAAACATGAGATTTTAATTAGCTAAAAAAAAATTTTTTTGAACAGTTAATATGATTTTTATATTAAATGATGTTTATTACCTCCTCTATTTGAGGCTCAAAAGAGAGAGGAGGGGGGTTATGTTAAACATAGTTTTAACTTGGTGTGGCCTTAAGATCAAATAATCATATTAGCGGATTTGTGTAATTGGATGAATAAAAAAACCCATAAGCCATAGCTCTAGCCAAATGATCTGCAAATTTGACCAGAGCTACAGCTCATCCCACAAATCCGCTGATATGTAATACAGGATCGCTTCGGTCTTTGGATGGATCGAAGGACCATCAGTTTGAACCGGATTGATTAACGGCCCTACTGCTCACCCTAATGTTTACATAATAAATAATAATAAATAAAAAAATAAATAAAATAAATAATTTAATGAAAACCCGTGACTTATAACGATATACTAATTACATTCCAACACTACACATGCTCAAATGCTCAAAAAATTTCCCATTCCTGGTTTTAGCGCAACTGTGTTGCGTAGCTACTTTATTAGTCAATTGAATTGTTTGTATGATGATTGACGATCTCTCCCGTTTTGGTAATATGGGTCATGGTCTAGGAAAAAAATTTTGAGTTGTTTGATTCAGATTAAAGTACCAGTTACTAACTACATATATTTAAATTTTTACTCAACGTTAATATAATAATTTATCGAGATATTTTAACTTGAAGATGATTTAATTTTTAAACGTTCGTGTTCTAAAAATAGAATGATAACCAATAATTGATGACTCAATTAAATTAGATTGGTCAATCAACATTAAATCGTCATTTTCTCAAAATAGAAACCCCCCTTCGAAGACCCATTTTCCTAGACCATGACCCATATGAGTCATGAACTAGAAAAACCATTTTTTAAAAAAGTTGAGATTTTCAATTCAAATTAAAGTACTGGTTTCTATCTATATGTGTTTCACTTTTTACCCTATGCTGATACAATAATTTATTGAGATATTTCAACTTGAAGATAGACCAATTTTTCGATATTAGTCGTTTAGGCTGATCTGGAATAACTAAAATTTACATTTTCTGATTGGCTATTTCCTTTTAGAAGTTTGTTTACTCGTGTGTTTGTTTTTTCTCATAGTAGTCCTAGAAAAAAACTGGATTAGCACGTTTTTTTTTTTTGTATTAATAAAAAAAAGTAGCACTATCGTACAAAATTATTAAATTTAAACGAGAGAATAGATTTTTTTTTATTTACAGCTCAAGACGATATTGTGTGTTTTCTCCTTGAAATATATTTGTTTTATCGTACGTCGTGGTATAAGGAAGAACGAGTAAAAGGTATGAATAATATTGTAATATTAATTGTTTTTCTATATTTTCAACTACGGCAGGACCAAGACCAACAACTACAGCAAGATCAACACCCGTGGCAAGACTAACACTCTTAGAAAGACCTACAACCACAGCAAGACTAATACGAAGAATCACACTACCGTAAATTTAGCGAAATGATCGAGAAAATTTTTTTAATTTTGTTGATGGTGAGTGTCTTGTTGTTATATGTTTTTTTTACATGCTTCATGTCATAAGTACGCTGCTCTAGTAGGATGAACTAGAGGGGTAACAGCCGATAGTGATGAACGAGTGTAAGGCATGAAGAGATGAGCTCTCATAAATATGATATGATATACATCATGTCATAAGTCGCGCTGCTCAAGTAGGATGAACTAGAAATAGGGATGAACGAGTGTAAGGCATGATAATTATATTGTATTAATTTTATTCTTTATTTCTTTTTAGCTCAAAACAGGACCGACACTCACAGCAAAACTACAAAAAATATTTTTTATATAAAATTTTAAAATTATATTTAATTTAATAAATTATAGTTTAAAAACTAATAAAGTTTGAAACAAATAAACAAGTTTATTTAAAAAGTACGTACAAATATATAATTTACTTAAGTTTTCTAAAAGAGTAAATTTATTAATCGCATCATGCAATGTAAATTATATATTGCCTAATTACAATCGTTATCAAATTTCAAGATTACAGTAGATATAAAAAAAAAGATAATTATTATTCATCGTCAGTGCGATGCATCGCTAGTCATATGACTGACTAATCAACAATAAAAAAACGACGCATTAAGTTTAGGGTTAGGGTTAGTGATGTGCAATAGCGAAAGACGTTTTTAATCCAGAATTTTGCAAAGAATTTTTTTTGTTAGAACGGGCGAAAATTTTTGATGGTGAATGCTGTGATTAATAATATTAATATGATGGAATCGATAATTGAAATCGTTAAAAAATAGTGATTCAGTCTTTTCTTATTCTCTGAAGTCTTTGTTTTTAATAAATGATTTATAAGTATTATGCAGTTTTATAAGCGGTTTCATAAGCAATTTTATAGAAGCAATTGACCAATCAAATATAATTGTTGATTATAATTATTATGCAATTTAAAAAACGGTTCTTAAGCGTTTCTTAAGCAATTTATAGCTAAGAAATGCAATTGACCAATCGAATAAAATTATACAATTCAATTTTACCTATCACGTCTAAATTTTCCAAATCAAAAAATTCCGCCTATACGTTTTGCGATTTCTTGAAAAAATTGTGATTTTCATGTTACACCCGATCTTAAATTCTGATTGGTCGGTCATAGACTAGCGATGCATCGCACTGGCGATAAATGATAACGCTACTCAATTTACCCCATAATTGTATGACCCTTCAATTGGATATTATTCCTGATGGGTTAGAAAAGGATCGATTTATGTACCGTTCCTGATAGGATTTTAAAAACTATATTACTTACGCAGGAATTTTGAAGACTGCCTAATCCAATTGTAAGATCAAGATTTGAGAAATTGTTAAATAACTTATTGTAAAGTTTTTTTTAGCATAAAATTTAGATACAGTATATCTTTATTTATTATCTTAAGAATCAATGTTAAAGGTCTCAAACTTGAATTTTATCGGGATCCTACTATGACTGATTGGTTACTGCGACTACGACTAAGTCGATTTTTTGAAAAGTTGACTAAGCCGGCTAAGCTGATTTTATCGACTAATGCAAAATCGACTACAAACACTACTGCTAACTACCGAACTATTATAATCTAAAACAATTTTTTATTTATAAACTAAAAAATTTTTTATTTATAATCTAAACAAATTTTCTTATTTGTATATAATTTTAAAATTTAAAAATCTAAAAAATTTTTGTTAAATTAATTTCGGTTTTAAAGAACGTTTTTTTCAACAGTTAAAATTATATATTTATATATATGAAATTATTTTAGTTACTAAAATATAAATAATTTCGGTTTTTAACTGTTTATTACTAAAATAATTTAATTTTAAAAATTTATTTTCACCTTCTCCATCTATAGTTATTCCTGACTTCTTTGTCTAAATTCCTCAATTTTCGATTCATATTCATCAATCATTTGCTTCATCTCAGGTCTTTGTGGTTTTATTGACTTCGCCTAAAGTTTAATACGATTTAGTATATAAACATAAATGCATACACACATATGTGTATATATATATGCGAAAACTAACTTTGGATATAATATCCATAAAAGCCTTGTGAACATCATTTTCATGCAATTTATCTTGATAATTTGTCATTCCTTCGAGTAGCTTCTTTATAATCCTTTCGCTCTTGTAAGGAAGCAACGATAAACAGTAAGAAATATTGCGCCATTGACGTCGATCATCAAGATTTTTAAACCTTTGACATAATTTTTCTACGACATTTTCAGTATGTTTATCCTAATTTGATAACAATATTAATATATATCAAATAGATTAAGTAATATAATATCCTTGAGTACTCACCTTTTCAATAAAATCAAACAAAAATTTCATAATTTTTTTAAATGATTCTTCATTTACAGGATTATTTCCACTTGAAAGATTGCTAATAATATCTGGTAAATTATTGTATACTGCATTATCTTTGGACGCTAATTCTGTGAAAAATAATCTGGCAAGGTCACTAATTCTATGGTCATCATCCTCAAGACATTTGGCCATTTCACCCAATTGACCTTTAACTTTAATCATTCCGTTAAGAATCAAATGAGTTAAAACCATTAAAGTATTTTTCTTAACTAAATTATCTGGGTCAGCAAGACGTTTGTATAAATAATTGATATTTTCATCAATTATGTTGTTGAAACAAACAGTCATATCACCTAATGCAATAATTATATTGCTACGAATTGTAGGTTCGGTTGACCTTTCAAGTATAGTAAATAATAACGGTAAATTATTCTCACAAAATTCTGAACTGACACACATTAATTTTGCTAATGCTAAAGTAGCGCATATTTGTAGTGTGCGATTCTATTATATGTTAATAAACAATTAATTAGTAAATGAGTGAGTGAACGAACAAAAAAAAAAAAAAATTTAAATTATATAATTATATATGATTCCATACATTATAAGTCTTGTTATTAGCACATATATTGCTAATTAACTGGCCAAAAACTGCCAACAATGACTTTTCACCAAATAATAATTCCTTTTCACGGATATGGGCGACTGCTTCGCCAAACTCATCTTCTGTTGTACCTGCAACTTGTTCTAATTCATCATCTCCGGGATTTTTTACTGATTTTTCAGTATCTAACAACAAAATAAATGCATTCAGTACATATTCTGTCTTTTAATGAAACATCACATATATTTTAAGCACCCTTTGATTCAGCTTCGGCTTTTCTTCGTTTCCACTCATCCTCAATAAATTCTAAATGAACAATATGCTTGATAGCAACGTGTCCAACTATGAATATCAGTTGACTCAGCTGAAGGGGATATGTCATAAACTGTTCTTGATCCAATAAAATATTATCACCGTCAATGTCCATAGCATCAGCCTCGGGTTCTTTCAAATCAAAAACAGATGCCGTTTTATGCTTAATAATTTCGGCACATAAAATATCTGGATGTTCTCCAAGCAAATATAAAGTGTTGATCGCTTGCTCAGCGACTGAAAACCTAAATGCAAAATGAATTAACTTTTTATTAATATGGGGGGGTGTCAATATAAACCAAGCAAATTTATTAGATAAATTTGCTTGGTTTCTATTGACACCCCCCATATGTTTAAAATTAATCATATTTTAATTACCATTCCTGTGATGATGTCTGAAATTCGATAATCTGTTTTAATCTGTGAAAAATCGGATGAGACATCGGAAATCGAATAGAATCATTATTTAATGAACCTTATAACCAATAAATATATAATTAATAATTAAATTAATTAATTAATTATAAATTTTCGTTGTGACTTTTTTCAATTTTTCAACATGACGTACTATTTAAAGAATATAGTTAGTAATTTTTCAAAACGATACCTTTTACTTTAGAACTGTTGCCGCCCAATCGTTGCAACGCGATACAAGTATATTTAGCTAATGATAAATCTGCCTACATTAACATAACATTTTAATAATTAAAATTCAGCGGCATTCACATTTTCAAAATATATATATATATATATTTTTTTTTTTACAAATGTACTTACTTTGCCCAAAGGACCGAGACCAATTTTTAATAATAGATCTGTTTTTTCTTGAACTATTTCCATTTTCGCTTTCGCGAACATACCGAGTATAATAATTGCACCACGACGTTGTGCTTTGGGTATTTGCTTTGTCGAAACGGCTTAAATAAAACATATAAATTAATGTATGCCAAATTAACAACGAATTATATACAGTAGTAAATAAATGTTCTTACAATAGACAGACCATAATCTGGCTATAACATCATTACTTATTAACTCTTCAGCCATCATCGTGCTCATAAGTTGTTCAAGTGAAGTTAATTCAGCAAGTGTGGCATTGTAAGTCAAACTAAAATTACCAAGTAATAAGAATTATTATTTATAACTACAATATATTAACGATTCACTTGTGAAGGTACTTGATATTTAGAATAATTCTTAAACACCTTATTAAATTCTTGGTCACCGTATTAACTGCCTCCTTGTCTGAAAGTGAAGCGTCTGTTTCAATATATAACTTGTGGTAGCTTTCAATCAGATGCTTCCGAATACCCTTTCCCTCGTCATTATTATCTTTTATCCAAATCAGGTGTAACATTCTTTTAATTCCCTCTATTGCAAATTCCATCTTATAAGCATGCGCAGTGACAAAAAATTCCATTGACTCAAGCACTTCTGATTTCGCTGTAGATCCAAGAAGTTGACAAAGATTTGGAATAGCAGTATGTACTTGATGTATAAAACGAACGGCGTCTGAGTAATAACGTCTTGTAAGTTGAAGTCTTATTATTTCGTCAGCCGATGTATTCTGTTGGTTCGGTAAATCAGGCATGTCAACATCCATATCTTCACTTTGATTATCATCATCATTCCCGGATTGTATATCAGTAAATTCTTGAGGTGGTTGAATAGCCTTTTATAACGAAAGCGGCATATTAGATCCATGCGATATATACACATGCATCTGGTTATAACGACAAATTTGAAATGTCTTTCGGTGAATTAATTATACCATTTTATATCTAGATGTCGTTATAACCAGAGTTTATATATTGCACGGGATTGTACGTCAGACACCGTACAATAAGATTTTTATTGTATGGGCATTCACTAGTTATACATGGGTTCAAAATTTCAGTCATGTGACCGAAGGCCACATGATTGAAATTAAGAATCCGTATATATTCACTACCCCGTACAATAACTATAAATTATATTATGGTGCAAGATAAATTACCTTTAATTCATTTTCTACTTGTTCTAATCGACTTTCCCATTCTTTAATTGATAGCTCTCCTCCATGAATTACGCCATATGGATGTGTGGCGATCAACCTCGTCAATAGTTTAATAGCGTTTTTCCGAACGTTACAGCTCTTATCCTCCAAACATCGAATAACTAAATCGGTGAGCTTTTGTCTGCGTTTTGGAAACTTAGCCTTCAAACTATCATTCAGTAGAAATAGATATACATTGAAATTTTATACATAGCACTATGATGCTTACTAAATTTTTAACCTACTCGACTAATCTTAGATAAACTTGTAATACTTTTGAACGACAAAAGGAATTCGCATCAAGGAATCGCTCATCTAAAGCATCAAAAAATCCATTTATTTGTGAAACGTAATTCAATGCTTGTTCCTCTTGGTTTACAAGATCAATTATGAGATTGCCGATAACTTCTATCAATCCCATTCGCATTGTATAAGACTGACAATAAATATTAATTATTAGTATTGCATCATAAACATTATAAAGCGTTTTAAAGATTTTTAATAATTACCTCATTGTCTAAAAGTCTAACCAACAGCCCAGCTTGCTTTACAACTACTTTAGGAACTAACTCTGACAACTTTATGAGAAATTTTGAGAAAGATTTTGGACCTATTGTATCTTGATTTCCAAATTCCTTGTTGCTTATTTCTCTGAATAAAAAATATAAATATAATAAGGATCGTTAATTGAATTATACATCAAGATGATGATAATCCTTACATCAAAATTTCTTCAGCTAGTCGAGTGTAATCATATTGCTGTGCAAGAACATCAAGGAACTCAGCCATTGGTTCTGAAAGGTGCTCATAATATTGTAAATTTTGAATAATGGAAGTTTGTGCACCTATAAAAAGAAAATATTGATAATTAATAATATAGTAACAAAAACTACACTTTTATTTACATCATTACTAACCAAATGCATGATTATATTCTTTTACGCAAATCGAAAGGATTTGATATACGAATTTTTTTATTTCGGAATCTTTTGTATTAGTGACATTTTCCAATATTCTATACGCTGATTTGGTAAATAAGCTAAAATAAAATCACATATATTTTGTGTGATAAGTATTTAAAAAATGATGGCATTGTCTCTCAAAAACACTTTGAAATACCTAACAAAAGTATCCCTTTCGTGTGTCGATGTCCAAATTTTTTTAATTCTAAGTTCCAACACATTTACCATCAATTTCAATGCGTTTGACTTCTGAGTTAACCAATCCCATTCATCGGGTAAATTTGCCGTCGAAGTTGATGCCTTCGTCCTTGTTAATCTCTGGCGCTATTAATAATAATATAAAAATAAGTAATGGAATTGATTTTAATTTATTTCTTACTTAGTGTATTTACCTTTGTCTTCCCGCCAGTTATTACCGTCGTTCCAGTTACACCACTTTTAGAGTCAGCTTTGTTTTCCGCGTTGGAAATCAACCATACTAACAAAAATCCATACATTTCCAATGCTATTCGATGTTCACTGTAAGATTCTTCATCGTCAACGTCCAAGTCATTCGATGTGGTTTCATATTCAGCTTGAAATCCTAAGATAATTATACGCGTAAATTTAAATCAAATTATAATTATAAATTCAAATTATGAACGTATATTTTATTATTACCGGATAGAATGATATCAAGGACGCGATTCATCATAGTTGGTTTCAAATCATTAAAGTTTCTGCAAAATGTTTAATTATGCTCAGTATGACATATTAAATTTCAACTTAATATATAGAATTGTTTGTAAATTATACTTACTTTACGAAACTACGTAGTGTATCGAACGGTTCGGCATTTATTATTGACGAAGAACTCTCACTTATCTTGTCAATAGTTTCTATGAAAAATAAAGTTTGTAAACTTTCCAGAATTTTGTTGTTAATTCTAACATTATCGAATTTTACCATTCAACATTCTATCAATTTCCAGAGCCTCTAACTCTTTTACTGACACTTCATTTGGAAAAAAATAATTTGTGTCTTGTAGCTTCAAAAGCTCCTCGTGCAAGTTAAAAAAATCCATTTTTTTTTTTTTTGTATAATTTAATGGCAAAGTAATGAAATATTTTTTATATTCGATATAATATCTGATATTATTTGATATTATTCGATATAAATTTTCTTATAAAAAAAAAGCGCGTTATTTAAGGATCGGGATCGATAATATAGTATGATTTCGCGTCACACCTGAACACCTGATCTACGTAACTTCAAAACAAATTATTTATTAACTTAAAATCGTCACATGAGCGTGACGCGCGATCAGGGACGATGATTTTCTGCGTTTCACGGAATGCCGCAGAAATCACGGAATCGGGTTGTGAACACGGAATGTGTCAAAAGTATTACGGAAATGTTGCAGAATGTAGCGCAGAAAGTAGAGATTTATAAGTACACAATCCAAACATACAACTTCCGAAAAGTCCCGACGTAGAAAATAAATGAACCTAGTAAAATTTTAAGCTATTTAAAGTTTTATTTTTTGTGTAACATGTCCATACTTTTGTCTAGGGTTGTTAAAAAGCTCGTAGGGACCCGGTCTTTGAGTCGACTTCATATGGACTTTTTAGGACTGACTCAAACCTGTCCTATACAAAGTCCCATATGCATGTCTTTGTTCCAATTTGTGATCCATATAATTGATCAAATGCATGTCATTTGTTCGAATTGTGATCAGGAGGCATTCATATGATTGGCTAATTTATATCGAGATTTATTTGATTATTACATGTATGGACTCGACTCAAGGACCAAGTCCTAATCGAAGTCCCTATTTACGAAGTCTGGACTGAAAGGATCTGACTTTTAACTGCCCTACTATTCAATCACATTGAGGGGGTTCACACTTAATTGGTAGATCGCAATTAAAGGGTACAAATTTCATATGGTTACATGGCAGCGATCAATTATAAAGAACTTCTGACACGTCTTTTTGACCTTATAATAAGTTAACATTATATTCAAATAAATTCGACGTTTAATTCTCAAATTTGATAGAATATAACCCGTAGAATTAGTGAGTTAAGTAAATTTCTTCTTTACTGTAAAACTTCGAGACTTTACTCAGTAAGACACGCGCATTCGGGCCAGAATAATTCAAAGTTTTTAGTAATTTCGATTTCAACTTTTCTCTGTTTTGCTTAAAAAGATATAATAAATCAACAGATTTATTTAGTGCCAAACAAAAAAGATAAAATTATTTATTACTCTACGAAATAGAGTAATTTTCTATGTCGCAATCATTTACATGTTTGCGATCAAAAAATATCAGTGCATCCATTACACCGTCTCACGAGAAAATTTGCAGAAAACCTTTACGATGACCTATGAGTTATTAGATTACAGTCGGGCCTTTCCTAAGTGCTCCTTTCTCGGACCATAATAAGGATTGGAGCCGGTCAAAAAAAACCAATAACCAGTCAAATTTATGTTTTATTGTTTTGACTAGTTAAGAAAACCAGCTAATCAAACATTGTTTTTTTTTTCTATCAACATTTACAGATTTATCTAATGGTAATTCGAATGGACAATTTAAAGTTGGAGCCTGCTATGACGAAGGCATAAGCGCAACCAACGATGAAACAAAGGCAATTGTATAGTATTTGAAAACTGCCAAAGGTAGCAATTCGAATAAACAATGTAATCTTGGAAAATGCTACTGAATTGGCATAGGCATAGCCAAAGATGAGAAAAGGCATTTGAGTGGTATCTGAATTGGCTGTATATTGTATTTAGTTTATATGTTTGAAGCTACTCTGTGATGGTAGGATGGTGTAAGGAAAAATAACTCTCATTATCGTGAAGTTCAATATAACGATGAATTTTCGATTACTGTGTTATTAAGATCAACTCTGGTGAAATGAAGTGTATGTAGTATTATCTAAATATATAATGAATAGCGTGTATAGTATGTGCATTTAACTGTATTTATATTTATTATATAAACTAAATAAAAATGTTTATTTTATGTGTGGGAATTTTCAATTTTATTCTATTTATTGCATAAACCATTTACATGTAATATTTAGCAGTGTTGACAAATAAATGCAATCCATTTATCTTTTTTAACAACAATTCCATTTTGTTAGCAATAGCCAACCTGATCTATTACTGTATTAGAATCCCACATATCAGCAGATTTTTGATGATAAACGAACGTCTTATGTTCATTCTTCTTAACCCTATTTTTGACGAATTTTTGTCAAATTTGATATTCAGAATAGGATGAAGCACAGATACTTACTAGTTTTCTTCATTTGGAGAACTCGCAGCTTTAAAAGTTTCAAGTACGATGGATGTTCCTTGTTGATTAAATTCCCTAGAATAACGACCAATCCAGTTTTGGATTGTAGTTACTTTGGACACATGGTCCTCTTCGATTATTCCAGAATGCGCGAACCTCAACAGTTCCTCATGCATCTCCTTGGCTGTCATTTTATCATTGGGGTTTAGGTTTCCATTTAAAAAAAATTGTTTTAAAAAATCTACAACATTCACTTTAATTCTTTTCCCCCTGCCCTTTTTTCCGAATTTAGCATTTGTGGAAGATGCCCAACCTTTGGGCATTTGAAATGTTTCTTCAATGTTCCTAAAAAGATTTACACTAGTTAAATTCGAAATAATCTCAATAAATCATAACGATTTTATGAACCTTTCGCTGGTATTATCTGTTCCAACAGGTTTTTGATGATAAATGAATGCATTATATTCATTCATTTCAGCTCCAATTTCATCGGAATCTCCCATTCTAGCAGAATTTTGATGATAAATGAATGCATTATGTTCATTCATTTCAGCTCTAATTTCATCGGAATCTCCCATTCCAGCAGAATTTTGATGATAAATGAATGCATTTTGTTTATACATTTCAACTCCAATGCTACTGGAATTTCCTATTTTAGCAGATTTTTGGTGACAAATGAATGCATTTTGTTCATTCATTTTAACTTCAATTCCGCTGGACTCTCCTGTTTCAGCAGATTTTTGAAAATTAATAAATGCTTGATGTTCATTCATTTCAGCTTCATTTTCTAAATAAATATTACAAAGTAAGTAAACAAATTATCATTTTATTTTTTAACTTAATCCAAATTTGAGCCTTGATTACCCATCTAGGCTGATTTTTGATAGTGGGCAAACGAATTTTGTTTATCTATTTCAACTTCAATTCCATTGGAATTTTCCATTCCAGTAGATTCTTAAAAATGAATAAATGCATCTTGTTCACCAGCATCGTTTTCTAAACGAATAATACAAGATAAAAAATATTATTTTATTTTTTTACTACGTACAAATTACCACAAGAAACTAAAGTAAATAGTTCCTACCTTCAATATCTATCTCAGAATAATCCTCCTCATCATTGAAATTTATAACGTCTGCCTCACAAGTAATATAAGTCAGTAGCTTATTGAAACAGGGTTGTAAAATTACTGCTTACCTTCCATTTCAATATCTTCACTTATTACATTATTCGAAGGAACTGCAATTTATCACAAATTTTTTATTTTTACCTTTTTTTTTAGCAAGTTATTCATATGTTACAGCATACCTTTTATTGTTGGGATTGGCATAGTCCAATCAGATATGGGTTCCGTGTGTGCTGAAACTATGGGTTTTGGATGAATAAGAGATGCATTAAATTCTGCAAGTGAAAAATTTTTCTATAACCCTACGTGAGGCAGTTCCTTAGCACAGATAAATCCAGCAAACGGCCCTTCCACAGGCCATTCCCAGCAATACAGTTTTGAAATTCCAGTCATGGTTTTGATTTTTTTTTTTTTTGGTTTGAATTTCTATTTTTTTTTTTTTTTTTTTGATTTAACTCAATATTTTCAGCTTCTGATCTACTACTTCTATCATCACGATTTATTTTAATTTCGGCTAACGATGTTCCAGAAAGCCCTTTCGCTGCCTCGACTATATCCTCGCCTTCAATCAAGTCAAAACCAACTCGAACATATCATTTAATGCTATGGCTAATCTAATGTGGTATTAAAGCATTTAATATGTTAGTCTTATTAGTTTTAAAAAATAACACAAAAAAAAAAAAAATTTAACATTACGTTTGCATGATGAGAATCGATGGTTGTCTTAGCTTACCCAGGCTCCAAAAACAACCATCATTTTACTTTAATGGAATACCAAGTATGGCAATGCGCTATGATAGTCATCAACTCTGAATTTTGGTAGTGTGCACCGTTATCGGAAATTATAGTTATCCATTTTGGTTTCTGTTTCATTGAATCAAATACAGCTTCAAACAAAGATGCGGTGAACTAGGCATCTTGCTTTGTGTCAGTAGACCAATAGTCGAATGCCCGAACATCTAACATATCTTGATTTTCTATTTTTCTAAAAACTAGTATAGTGTGCAAAGTCCAACCTCTTTTACCAAAAAAATCTTTTTTGGTTTCACAAGCTAATTTCGGAAGAACTCTTATCTTATAATCAGCAACAACTAAAGTGCCTTCAGGGTCCAACTGAGCTAATGTTGTTCTGAACTGAGCGTTAAGATAAGTTTTTCGTACTTGGTGGCCTAGGTAATGTTTTAATCGCTCTTGAATTTTGTGTAATTGTGCTATGTATTCGTTATCTATACGGTTTTCTAACTGATAAAAAAACTTATAAAATTGTTCACACTTAGAACATCTTGAAAGATGTAAAGCTGTACATTCTCCAAAAGCATAGGTAAGGCAATAATCAATACAAGGATCGTGTGAAATTTTTTCCATTTAGTGTTATTACTAACTCTTGCTCAAAATCTCTCTTAAAATGGCATCGCAGTTGTTCAATTTGTGAAAGTATTTCATTCTAATAAAAAAAATTTTTTTTTTTGCTCTAATAAAAATTTTTTTTCCTAATAAATCAACACTCATATTCCGATTAAGTTCCCAATAAATTCCAGTTTAAAAAAATTTTTGCATACGGGCAGCTATCAATTAATACCGTGTATACACACTAAGTGCAAATTAAAAACTTCCAAAAAAAAAAAATGTTTTTTTTTTGCTTCTTAACAAAAAAAAAAAGTTTGCTAACAAAAAAAAAGTTTGTTAACAAAAAAAAAAAGTTTGCTAACAAAAAAAAAGTTTGTTAACAAAAAAAAAGTTTGTTAACAAAAAAAAACGTTTACTAACAAAAAAAAAGCTTGTTAACAAAAAAAAAGCTTGTTAACAAAAAAAAAAGCTTGTTAACAAAAAAAAAAGCTTGCTAACAAAAAAAAAAAGTTACTAAATAACAAACAAAAAAAAATTTGCTTGCCAACAAAAAAAAAAAAATTTGCTGCCAACAAAAAAAAAATTTGCATGCCAACAAAAAAAAAAAAATTTGCTGCCAACAAAAAAAAAAAAAAAAAAAAAAAGAAATTGCATTCTAATAAAAAAAAAAAAAATTTTAATACCATTTCAATCTTGTCAGTAAATGTATTTCGTGCAATTCCAATTAAATTTTCAAATGATTCAAAACCGTAATCGTTACAAATTCCGCAAAGGCCACCCAAATCGCTCCGATATTTTAGATGTATACAATTTGCAATGCGGCCCATGAAAGAGGTTTTTTTCATCCTATTGGGGAAAGTTTGTTGAAACTTTTTCCAAAGTGAAGCCTTGTTATCACGTAAATAAAGGATAGGCAAGTTAGTTTTCGGGTCTGTCTTGTAAGAACTCATTGTAACATTATCTTTATCGGAAAAAAATATTTCGAACTGTCTTTCTTTAAATTCGGCTATTAATTTGGTTGTTTTTTTTGGCATTTCCATTGGTGGTGCACCAACACCATAGAGACGAGAATGTTTTCTGGCTTTGCATATAGTTTTTGATGTTACCTGTATTTAATAATAATTATATTGTATTAATAAATTTTATAAAAAAAAAAAAATACTCGATGTCTTACTCCTAATTCTCTTTTAAGAACCTGATAATCAAAGTAAGATACGATAATAGATAGTATTCGAATTTTTCCACCAGCCCCTCTTTTATTAATTTCTAGTGCATGGCAAAAACTATCTCAGAATTGACAACTTGTAGCAATATTACATTGAGAATTTTGATCTTTTATCTGAATTAATTCCCATTGATATAAGTTTTTTAGAGTTTGCCGATCGGCCCTAGGATCTACAGCACACGTCCAAAATTTGACATTAGACTCTTCTTTGGAATAGGGCGTAATATTTGTACACCTACAAGCTTGAAACATAGAATGCCAGGCTGCTAGTTCTTTGTGTTGAAATGAATGACCAGGTGGGTATACACTATATAAAACATGTGGCAGCCGAACTATCGTACTTTGTTGTGTAATCCATTTAGTAAAAAGAATGTGCCAATCTTCATTAGGCATTGAAATTTTTCTACGTTTAATGTGCAGATCAAAAATTTGTTGTAAAATTGATGTGTCGTTCCATTGAAGTGATGTACATGTTATATCTTCTTTTTTATTTGTCAACAATGACTGAACTTTTGGATCTTTTAACCCAAAAAGTGCAAGATGATCCCTATTTTGGTGCATTCCATACTTCTTCCAAACGATAATTGGTATTTCACCAACATATTGGTATACTTCATTTCTACCTTTATAAACCCGCAAACTACAATAGTTGTCTAAAACTTGTTGTAAAATAAGGTAAGTCTCTGAACCACGGCATGTTAATAAAGATGATGTGTAACCAGGACCAGCGTATAGAAGATCTTCGCGCGAAGAATATCCAATTTTTGAAACTACTATAGAAAACTTGTCAACTTTTATGAATAATGGAAAAAATGAAATATCAGTAGGTATTTCTAATATAATCTCTTTATTATAAAACCCAAATACTGCTAAACCCGAATGCTCAGTTTGGCCTCCAAACAATTCCCAATATAATAAGTTGATTGCTTTTGAAGGTGTGTTTTGTACATCACTAAATTTTTCTTCCACTGAACACAAAAAGTCTGGTTGCAAGGGATTTGACGGGTTATTAACAATAGATAAAAAAAATTCGTGATTATTTATTACAGTTATTACACTCATATAAAGATGAAAAGGAAGATTTAAAACACTATTATTTTCAATTTTTAGATTTGGAATCCACCAATCTCGAGTATATGGCCCGTAATGGAGATTTGAGTTTATTTGCCCTTTGTTTGCAAGTTGTACTGTATATTTTTTATTCTTTGATATTTTAAATGAGACGATCTTTCACCATTCATAATACTATAAAACTTCACTATTAAATGCCCGTCACTTATAATTAATAAATGTCGATCATTTTGTACCCTTTAATTACGATTTGTCAATTAAGCCTTTTTGTTATTGTTTTTGTAATATTCAATAGTATTTAGGAGGATTTGAATTGGTATATGTGTTGAGTAGTTTTTGGTTGCTACAAAGTTTAGATTACTTAGAAGATGATATTGAGTTATAATCTGGTTAAAGCATGTGGTAAATACTTTGTTAAACATTTTTTGATTAGTTTGATAAGGGAGATTAGATAGACTTAGTCCAATATAAAATCTTATGATAATTTTTTTGAGATAAAGAAGATATTAGAAGTTTTCTATTCTATTGGAGTACTTTGTAGAGCAAGATATTTTAAAAGAAAAAAATGAATAATATTTTGACTTTTAGAGATGAGTATTTTGAAATATTCATAGTTAGTTTTAGATAGGCTTGCAGCTTTATTGTTTGGAAGGTCTTTTATAATTTTTGTCTATTCATCAGATGTGATTTCAAAGATAAGATTTTGAAAGAGATATTCATTTTCTAGATATAGTTTGTAGTAGTTATAAAAGAGTGAGTTAGTATTAATAGGAGTATATAGAATTTCTTAGAAATATTCTTGAAAATAGTTATTAAGAGTTGATTTAATTTCAGTTGGTTATGTAATTAAATTGTTGTTTGTAAGTAGGTGATCTAAATCAATACTATTGTTTAGTTTTTCAAGAGTTTTACAAAAAAAGAGTTTAGGGTTTTGTGTAAAGTTATTGTTTCTTTCTTGTAATTTGTTTTGAATTTCAAGTAGAGTTTGGTCTTTTTTCTCTTTTTGAATAAGAGTTTTTAAGTTTTTGATTTTACTTTTAAATAGTATAGGGATTGTGTTTGAGTTTGGATTTGCTTTTAGGAAGTTTTGATATGATAATAGGAGGAGAGTATTGTTTGAATATTTTTTTATACAGGAGTTATATAGTTGTGATATATCAGTAGATATTGTAAAGTTTTTAATGAAAATAATATTTTGGAGTTAGTTGTGAAGAAATAATAAGTTAGGTTTGGAGAAGTCTTAAAGGTTCAAATTAGATTTGATTTTTTTAAATAGAATATACTTTAAGGTAGCTTTGCTAATTGTTTTTTTTGATTTGGTTCTATATGTTGTTTAGATCATTAGTATTTGAAATTTCTGTGATAGGAGTTAGTAGACAGATAAGATTTTGTTCAGTATGGTATTTTTTTTATTTTTTTTTTTTTTTTTTATTAGATTGATAATATCAATTAGGAAAGAAATTAGTACATTTATATAATAAGATAGTATATATGTGAAGCTAATATGTATTCCTAAGATACTATTATTACTAAGCCTATATAATAGTTAGTTATCCAGTATAATATTATACCTTTATTTTCTATTTGTTAGTTAATTTAAACCTAAGTTACTATTAGCTATAGAAGAGGGTGAAGGAAACCTCGAAGAAAGAAGAGAAAGGTAGTTAGTAAAAGCAGTTAAATATGGAATAGTTCTGTAGTAAGTATTTTTTAAATATAGTTGTCAATGTTATAATTATAAGGTATAGTAGAATTTGGTAAAGTTGAAGTTTGGGAAGAGTAGATTTATTTTAGATTTTTTTATCCTATACTACATCCATTACAATTCCTCCTCTTGCATTTATGGATGATACAGTTTGGCACTGCAAATCCAAAACAGACCTTCAAAAAATTCTCTAAGATGTTTCAGATCTATATCAACGAAATAATATTCAAATCAATCCTCTAAAATCAGATCTCCTCTACATTTCAAAATCCAAAACAAAAAATTCTCAATCTAATAATACTCTACCAAACCAACCTATAACCTTCAAAAATCAACCTATTCTACCACATAAACCAAGTGAAACAATCAGATATCTTGGTATATTCCTGGATGAAAATAATTCATCCAAACCAACAATAAACATAATTTCTAACAAAAGTAACCAATTTACTCATCTTATTCAATACAAATAACTTCTTCCAATTTACATATCAAGGCTGTTTAACTCAATTCTATTACTATCTATTGAATATTTCCTACAAATTTGTTCTCTCTCTCAGAAAAAAATTAACCAACTATCAAGTATTCTCACCAAAAGCATCAAATACATGCTATACTTACCAACTAACACTAATAACGATATTCTCACAAACCTTCAATTACTTAATATACCTACCTTAAATAAACTCCTACTCTTAATAAATAGTAGTAACATAAACAGATGTCTGAACTCAAACATACTCCTTACTCAAATTATACAAGCTCACATTAATGAATGGCTAACCAAGATATGGCAACCAATACTAACAAAAAAGACTATCCTCTCTAACCAAAGGAAAATCCAAAACTTCACAATTATTAATTAACTAATCCCTATATTTAAAAACAACATTTCATTAAACAGTTCATACTTCAAAAATTCATAACACTATAACCAAACTCAAAAATTAAATTCTATTTACAACTTTCTTCCAAATTCGAATACTACAACAATACTCAGTCTCAAAAATAATCAAATTCTCTTTCTCGAACAGCTACTCATAGCAGATAATAAATATCTACTTCCATGGAAAAATATCTATCTCTGGACCCACAAATCCTCCTGAGGGCCAATACCTAAATAGTACAAATATATAACAAACCAAATAACTACACTTCTAATATTTGAGATTTAGCCTAATCTAAACCTTGAACCAACAAACTCTTTTCTAAATATACTCAATCTTATTATATTGCAAAACCTGAACAAAAACTTCTGGACTCTTTATACATCACTTCCAAATATCCAAATTGGAAAAATAATTGACTACTTGCAAACTCAAATAATATTTCAAAACTACTAAATCATCTTAACAAATACTAATACAACCCTCATCTCTCTAACATCTACTAAAATACAGATTAACTACAACCAAACAATCAACTTAAAATGCAAAACACAAAAAGAAAACAACCAAT